TTTGATTGTCACCACGTAACGTTCCGCTGGTCCGTTTGATTGCGGATGATATGCAGGACTGAAGATTTGAGTTATACCTCTCTCCGCACAAAATTGTTTAAAAATAGCGCTAGTGATCTGCGTACCGTTATCTGAGACTAACGGTTTTGGCTGTCTATAGCGACTTATGAATTCGTGTAGGCGATCAGTAAACGTACGAGCGTGCTAGGGATTTCATACGTTTGCTTCATTGGTGTCCTTTATGGAGTTGCTTAAGAATACGTCGTTGTCTGTTTAAACACATGAGGCAATCATTAATGCTGCTTATAGCGTCTCTGCGATTGTAAAATGCGTGTACATCAGTAGGAAGGTTTTTAGCTGATGTAGGCCAGCCATGTTGTATGTATTTGTTGACCTTCTGTAACATAGTGTCAGACTTGGTTGCTGCTCAAATCATGTTGAGTCACTGGAAGATTTTTGATGTTTTTTTGTAATATAGTTGACACTTCGTTTTCCACTGATACTTGCGCTACTACAAATTCCTCATCGTGTTTCTTGTGCTTATCAATGAAACGTGAGAAAACATCAACATTTCCGAACTCCGTTGTTTTAACATACTGAATGTTGAAATCGTAACTCATCAAAACTAATGCCCATCGTTGTAAACGATTTGCTGTGTGAGTTGAAATACCTTTCTTTGATCCGAAAATCATCCGTTTGTGGTCGGTTAAGACGTGAATTTGCGCCATAGATCATTCTATGAAACTAGGCACAGGCGTAGACTAAAGCTAAAGCTTCTTTCTCGATTTGGCTATATTTTTGCTCTGTAGATGTGAGAGTACGCGAAATATGATACACCACTTTGTTTGCTCCATTTTGCATTTTATGAAAAATTTGTGCTCCGATTCCTACTGTAGATGCATCAGCTGCCACGAATATTGGTAATGAAGGATCGTAATGAGTAAGAAACAAATTCAACTGAAGAATTATTTTAAATTCGGCGAGTGCTTTTTCACAATTGTTGTTCCAGATCCATTAAGCATCGAGTTTGAGTAACTCATCTAATGGTTGACGTAGTTGACTCATGCGAGAAATGAATTTTCCGTAATAATTTATTGCTCCTAAAAAGGATAATATCTCCGAAACATTTGTTGGTCGTGTTATGTTCCGAATAGCGACAATTTTTGTGCTGGATAAGGATGAATACCACGATTCAATAACACAAGGTTAACTCGATATACATATTTTATCATGATCTACTTTTGGGTTTTAAAAATTAAGTGGTAATAAAAATATAAATAAACAAAGCAAATAAACCTCTTATATCTGCTTTTTTTTTACCTGCGCCAAATAAATTTGGTTAGGTGTCTTTGATGGGGGTGATCGACTTGCACACACGCGACATCCCAAAGCGTCGACTCGTAGGTTTTTAATTGCATTGCGATTAGCACCCCCTAGTAAAAGGGGCCTCCCTGTGGTGTCACCTGGTAACGCCTTGGCGGCTAATTCGAGCGGCGAACCCTCCTAAATCCCTACACCTATGCTTCCCTTTCTGACCAAATTCCTTGCCAGTTCTTCCCTCCCTTCTCTTTTCAGGGCCGGATCAAGGTGTCATACGACCCGTGCCGAGGATGAGCCTGGCTGGGGGCCCTTCATCAAGCCCAGTCGCGAACGGAGTACTCCGGATACCGGGCGACTTTCGGAGCCAACTAGCTTTACCCGGGTACAGCGGATCTCTGCCCAGGCGGACGTTCCCCTTCTCCGCGTCTCGTGGCACAAAATATGGAATCACATCCTCACATCACATCACAAACTTCAACTCCAGTACGGGAGTCCGGCGCTCCGAAACAAAGGCCGAAAGGAGTCACAAACTCCGCACCCAGCAAAGCCACGGTACCACCGGGCCTAGCCAAAAGTAGCTCTATACGGAAGCAGACATCAGGTGTATCCGCACCCACCAGGAGTAGGACTAAGGCACTCCCTGGTCCGAGAAGTCCAAAGGCCAATGCTACGCACAGAAGTAGCACTGGACGGGAGGCCTGCACGGCAAACACCGGAAATCCTGGGCCTTCCTGTAGTGGGCTGCCAACTGGGGATGGACCCAGGAACATGGTGACCTGCAATAGGGCCAAGGACTTCGTCCGAACTGACCCTGCGAAGGCAACCCACCAAGATCGACGTACCGCGTCTCGAGTCCTCCGCCGCCAAGCCAACTCACCGATTTGGGAGGATCAGGTCTCGGAGGAGGACTTCGTGAAGGTACAAGAAGACATAGAGTGGGCTAAGAAGATTATCCCGGACTTCGACCTTAACTTATACGGGAAGACTGATGCTGCAAAGTGTCTGAGATCCGTGGAGGAAGCCCCAGCACTGGCTCCGAAAAGGGCCAAGACACAAGGTGCCTGGACTCGATCCTTTGCGGAGATAGCTAAGGTCCGAAAGGTTATTGGCGTTATGGATGAGAGCAACGAAGAAGGCAGGATCCCGAGAAACCAATGGAGAGAGGTGGGTCGAAGCCGCTTTGGCGAAAGTTGCCTTGCAGGTCAAGAGGGAAAACCCTGGACCACCTCCGTCGTGTACGGATGCTGGCTGGTTCCAGGGGAACGTCAATTTGATAGCCTGTGACGACAGCAGATCGGTAGAGCTGTACAAAGCGGCGATTAGCAGAGTAGGGGAGGGGTATCCGGGGGGCCGCCTAAAATTTGTGGAGGCCAGGGACATCCCATCGCGTCCCAGAGCGAGAGCCTGGGTACCCGTTACGGCGTCCGAACCTGCAGATATCTTAGAAATGTTGCAGGAGTTTAATCCCAGCATCCCTACGCACAACTGGAGGGTTGTTAACATGGAGCCAACTGAGCGAGCAACGATGCAGGTAGTCCTCCTCCTAAATGACGAGAGTCTGGAAGCACTCGCAAAAAGCGACTACAGGGTGAGCTATGGCTTTGGGAAAACAACGCTAAAAGTTTACAAAACTGACACCGAAGCCCTAGTAAACCTTTCAGCCTGTGTGGAGACGGACGAGCCACCCAGCGACCACGAGATGGAAGTCGACGACCAAGCAACCGAAGAGCTGAGCGGGTACGCCTCATCCAGCTCCGAAGTAGGTGAAGCCTTACAGAGGCTGTATACAGAGCGTGAGCTTCTCAGCGACGATGAAGCCAACGTGATGGTGGTAGAGAGGAGAGATTCGCGTGATGAAGGTACTCCAAATCAACACCCATCACAGTAAAGCAGCATCTGCTGCGCTCCTGCTTCAACTGTCTTCAGGTGAAGTAGACATCGCTTTGGTCCAAGAGCCATGGATCACTGGTAATAGGATCTGTGGCTTGCGGACCCCGAAGTACAAGCTATTCAGTGTTCAGGGTAAGGGAAAACCCCGCACCTGCATTTTAGTCAAAACTAATATAAACTCTTTTATCCTACCACAATTCAGCACTGGAGACATCACCACGGTCAGCCTAGAAATAGAGCGAATAAAATACAGGCTGGCCTCTTTTTACCTGGCCCACGATTATCAGGGCCCTTTCCCACTCACAGCACTAATGAAGCTGGTGAAAAATACAAACCCGATGGACACGATGCTACTGCTGGGAGGGGACGCAAATGCCCATTATAACCAATGGGGCAGCACCGACATAAGCGAGCGAGGTGAGTCACTTTATAACTATTTGCTAAGCACAAATCTGGCAATTTGCAACACGGGAAGTGACCCTACATTTATCACAACCAATCGAAGCGAAGTTCTTGACATCACCCTCGTTAGTGAATCTTACAGTAATCAGATCTCTGCGTGGAGGGTCCTAAAAGAGCACTCTTTCTCAGACCCCAGGTTCATAGAATTTAGCATATTAGACTCGCCCCCTGTCTCTAAAGAGATACGAAATATCAGGAAAACTAATTGGGGGTATTACAGAAAACTTGTTTATGAGAACCTACCTTCTGAACCATTTAATACACCAGATAGTAGGGAGGAACTTGATCACCTTGTTAGCTTTTTTGCTGAGAGCTGCGAGACAGCGCTTATCAAGGCATGTCCCAAGAGGAAAACCAGGGAGGCGTACAAACCTCCCTGGTGGTCCTCCGATCTAAATAAACTTCGCAAAGAATGCAGGAAAGCTTTCAATGCTGCTAAGCGCGACGCCCTAGAGACATGTTGGGCTCAATATAAATCGACACTTAACTTATACAAGAAAGCCATCAGGAAAGCGAGACGCACCTCGTGGAGTGATTTTTGTAGCGGGATAGAGACTACATCCGAAGCCTCTACACTCCGTAAGGTACTCGCAAAATCACCTACAGCACCTAGCTATAACCAAAAAGATGATGGGTCCTGGACTGACTCAAGTTCAGAAACCGTTAAAGTACTCTTGGATAATCACTTCCCAGAAAGCAGCGGTGACACGTTATATGATCCAGAATCAGCAGAGGCTACACCACAGCTCATCAGCGAAATCGTAAGCGACCGGAAAATCTGTTGGGCCATATCTAACTTCAAGCCCTATAAGATGCCAGGACCGGATGGAATATATCTGGCCCAGCTACAACACACCATGGAGCGTACAAGGCCATGGCTAAAGACCATATTCACCAGCTGTCTAAAACTCGGTTACATTCCCGGAGCCTAGACAGAAGCCAAGGTAGTGTTCATAACGAAAGCAGGCAGAGCCTCTCATGCTAAACCTGGCGATTTTATGCCTATCACCCTTTCATCCTTTCTACTTAAGACTCTGGAACGACTCCTGGAGACTTACACCCCTATCGCGAATGTCGGCTGGCAGTAGATAAACGACTATTAAGCGATTATCGATTATCGATGCTATTGCGAGTGTCGCTTAGTCGCTCAATTAGCGACTGTGAATACTTTTTAATCGCTCATCCTTCTATTGCTGTTTTTTAGTCGTTGGAGTTTGCGTTTATAAAATTTACATAAGAAAGTGGTACTATAATGGATAAAAGGTAAGTCAATTGAACTGGAAGTTGTAAAAAATTGTGAAATATACATATGCATGTATGTCACCCCTATTGCGAGTGTCGAACAAGAATAGATAATCGACTACTGAGCGATTATCGATTATCGAACTATTGCGAGTGTCGAATGATCGCTCAGCAAGCGACTGTGAATGCTTTTTAATCGATCATCTTTCTACAGCCATTTTCTAGTCGTTGGAGAGTAAAGTTGATGAAAAAAGAACGAAAATGGATAAAAAGTAAGCAAATTTTAAGAAAATAAATAAAAATATACATAAATAAAAGTAATAAAATAATTATATTAAAATTACAGATCAAAAGTAGTTAGTAACAAAAAGCAACTAGCGCGATTAGTGGAGTTGATGCAAAAAAACAGCGACTTAGGAAAAGGTATCTGCGGAAAAGTTCAAGGAAAGGCAAGTTGGGAGCGGGTAGCTGTAGAGTTGAACAGTTTGGGACCACCAATGCGCTCGTGGGAAAAGTGGTTGAAGGTAAAATACAATTACATATTTGGGGTTTTGTATTGAGTTTACCTCACAAAGAACTCGTTCAAATAAATCAAACAACCGAATAATATTTAAAATGCTTTATAACTTAAAAGATTATTTAGTCTTTTACAAGATAATTACAGGTTAATAGTTTGCGTTGATATATCGGCAAGCACGTCTAAATTCGATGACATCCAGAAAGAAAAAGGGAAGATGAACAATTTTAGTGATGCCAGATTGAGTTTTATTTTACAACTCGGAAATTAGCGCAGGGTTGCACTAATTCGCGAAAGTGAAATTATTGCCACAAAGTTTGCGGAAATACAAATGCCGCCACATTACTCCCCTCCTAGACGAAACTACCGATATCGTAGAGGAAAGTTAACATGCCTTCCAGAACGCGTAGATTTCGTCGATATAGGAGGTGGTGTATTCATTGGCTCGTCTTCCTGAGGAATGTGGCTCGATGTCGGAATAGGTGCTGGTGTATCCGTTGGCTCTACTGATTGGGGAACATGGCTCGAATCTTCGTAGTCGTCGCTGGCTAAGAACGCAGGCTTTAGCCGATCGATGCTTATGTTGCTGCATCGCCCTCGTATCAAAAGTTTAAAAAACTTAGGCGATCTCTTAACAACGGGGTAAGGCCCGTCGTAAGGATGTGTCAGTGAAGGACGAATTGAGTCGTTTCGCACGAAGACATGAGATGCAGAATGCAATGCTGGTGACACGAAAACTTTAGGCGTCGTATGATGTGCGGTTTTTGTAGGGCGAAGTTTCTGCATTAGCGACCGGAACTGAGATACCATCTCCTGTGTTACTGCTCTCGCCTTTGTTGACTGAAAAAATTCGCCTGGGAGTCGTAGCGTTGAACCATAAACGAGCGTAGCAGGGCTGGCGTGAATGTCGGGTTTGTAAGCTGCACGAAGACCGAGGAGGATCGTTGGCAAATGATGTACCCACTTGTTCGGGTCGTGGCACATGACAGCAGCTTTAAAACTTCGGTGCCACCTTTCTAAAATGCCGTTTGCCTGTGGGTGGTAAGGGGTTGTTCGGAGGTGAACAGTGCCAATCGTGTTCAACAACTCGGCGAATAGGGCGGAGTCGAATTGTCGGCCCTGGTCTGACGTAATTCGTGTTGGAACGCCAAATCGCGAAATCCAATGAGATAAAAGCGCTTTGGCAACGGATTCGGCGGACATATCAGGCATCGGCGCTGCCTCTGGCCAGCGGGTGAACCGGTCGATCATTGTTAGGCAATAGCGCTGTCCTTCGCATAGCGGGAACGGGCCAACAATATCGATATGAATGTGCGCAAAACGTTGGGTTGGCGGTTCGTAGGTCGCTGGAGCAGATGCAGTGTGTCGGTGGACTTTTGACCGTTGGCATTCCTGACAGTTCCGCACGAATTTTGCTGTCTCCCTCTTCATTCCGGGCCAAACAAACCTTTGCGTCATGAGGTTGACTGTTGCACGAACGCCTGGATGCGACAAACCGTGAATCTTTGCTAGCAGTAATCTGCGAAACTCATGGGGTATGTACGGCCGAATGTTCGAGGTTGAAGTATCGCATACTAGTTTCGCCATACTGTTGGGGATATCAAAATACTTTAGTAAAAGTGAATTACTTCGCGTACCTGATTCGCTTAGGAGTGCTTGTAGATGAGTGTCAGCTTGCTGCGCGGCTGCGACCTTAACGTAGTCAATAATTTGTTCGATTGCTTGCATTCGAGAGAGCAGGTCTGCTGTGGAATTTTCTGCACCGGGTACGTGTCGAATATCGGTCGTGAATTGGCCGATGAAATCCAACTGCCTTACACGACGGGGTGAAGCTTTTTCTAGCTTTTGGCGAAAGGCGTATACTAGCGGGCGATGGTCGGTGACAACATGGCATTTTCGGCCCTCGACCATGTACCGAAAGTGACATACGCCTTGGTATGCCGCGGTCAGCTCACGGTCGTACGTACTATATTTACGTTGCGCGCTGGTCAGCTTCTTCGAATAAAAGCCGAGTGGCTGAAGTTCTCCACCTTGGAGTTGGTGCAATGCGGCTCCGACAGCGGGGTCCGAAGCGTCGACGTATAAGGCTAACTCAGCGCCGGGTGACGGATGCACGAGTAATGTTGCTTTCGCCAGTTCTGATTTGCAACGGTCGAAGGCGTCTTCGGCTTCACTGTTCCACACGACAATTGTACGGTCGTTCTTCTTATTGCCCGTAATTAGCTGTTGAAGGTGTGACTGGTACTCGATAGCGTTCGGTAGGAATTTTCGGTAGAAGTTTACCATGGCGATGAAGCTCTTCAGTTCTTTTGCTACTGTGGGCTTCGGAAAATCGCGAATCGCTGCTATCCTCTCAGGTAGAGGACGTATGCCTCTAGCGTCGACCAGGTGCCCCAAAAACTTCAACTCGCTCTTAGCAAACTCGCATTTGGAAACGTTTATTGCCAGATTATTGTCCCGGAGGCGCTTGAAAACTTCGCGTAAATCTTGCTTGTGCTGCTCGACCGACGGCGAAGCGATACAAATATCATCGATATAGGGAAACGTATGATCTAGGCCCCGCAAAACTTCATTTATGAGCCTTTGAAATGTCTGCGCAGCGTTGCAGAGACCGAAGGTCATAAACCTAAACTCGAACATCCCGAATGGCGTCGTGATTGCCGTTTTAGCTATATCATCCTCGTGGATGGGTACTTGGTGGAACGCACGTTGGAGGTCGATTTTTGAAAACACTGTCTTGCCTTGTAAATTCGCCGTGAAGTCGGTTAGATACGGCAAGGGGTATCGGTCAGGCAACGTTTGCGCATTGAGTGCGCGGTAGTCCCCGCATGGCCTCCAGGTGCCATCGCTTTTCGTCACCATATGCAACGGGCTTGACCAGTTGCTGCTGGACGGTCGACATATGCCCGCCTTAAGTAAAAAGTTGAACTCGTTACGTGCAGCTGTCAGTTTCTCGGGCGCAAGACGTCGTGGTCTAGAAAACACTGGCTGGCCCGTTGTTAAAATGCGGTGGACGACCGTCGATTTTGTCAGGGAACCATGAGGCGCCAGCTTCGTGATCTCCGAAAACTCGGACAACAGATCGGCGAACGGGTCGGTGGAGTCGAATGTTTTGATTTGGGTTGCCTTGCATAGCGTTGGCGCAGTCAAAGATGATCGAAGTTTCGTGAGGTTGTCGATTATTCGGTTACGACGCAAGTCGATAAGCAAATCGTAAAAGCGAATAAAGTCCGCGCCGATTATCGGGGTTGTGACATCGGCAACTATGAAGGACCACGAGAAATCCCGCCGAAGGCCCAAGTCCAAGTTGATTCGTTTCTCTCCGACGACTTTGATGGCGGAACCATTGGCAGCGTAGAGTTTTGTTGCGGTTGGTCGAATGTCATAGGGCTTTGCAGTGATGGGTAGCACCGACACGTCGGCACCAGTGTCGACGAGAAACGTTTTGCCTGTATGTCGTTCGTGCACCTGCAAACGAAGTACTTTGCGCTCTGTGACGGGATCCTCGTTGCAATCCGCCACGCGCTTCAACAGTCATGATGGTTCGGACGATACCGCTCGAAGAGCGCGTTTGCTCTGGCGGCAAGGACTGCGGCATTTCTTAGCATCTCGGCCGTATTTTAGATGATACCAACAGTCCCGGGCTGAAGATGATTCTCGCGATGATGTAACCCCTTTAGAGCTGTCGCGAGCGTTTGAATTCTGTCGTATGTTTGTTCGCCTACGACTTTGCGAGCGTGAGCGAGTTGTGAGCTTGTCGAATTTTTTGCCAAGTTCCATAACAACAGCGCGTAATTCATGAATCTCGCTGGAGAGTGTTGACTTAACGCGATTGAGCTGCTGAGGTGCGATGGCGTCTATTATGGTGTCGGCTATCTTCGTGTACTCCGCGGCTGAGCCAGACGAAGCTGCTACTACTGGCTGCGCGAACTCTGGTAAACGCTTAATCCAGAGGCTTTTGAGAGCAGCATCACCAAGAGTATTGCCTGCGACGCGCCTCATCTCGAAGAAAAGCTCGGACGGCTTCTTGTCGCCAAGAGGTAGCTCCGAGAGTACCCGGTTGAGTCGCCGCTGTTCGCTATCGGCAAAATGCTCGATTATTTTTTGCTTAACGTAGTCGAATCTGTCGTTTTGTGGGAGCGCTGCAATGACGTCGCCCAGTTGACTTAGCACGTTTGGGTCGAGAGCTGCTAACACTGTTGCCGTTTTCTGCTTATCAGCCGTAATGCCCGAAGCGGTGAACCAAAATTCCATAGAGGTAAACCAGGCCTCTATGTTGGTGCTTGCCATCGGTGGTATTGGAAGTCTGGCATATACTACGGCAGTGGAGTTAGGCGGTGCCATTGTTTCTTCAGGTTTAGGCGAAGGAGTTTGAGATGCTCCTGGTGGCAAAACGTTGTCCACCATGTTACTCTTACCTCAAAATGGCTGCTTGTGTGCACGTGCTTGCCGATATATCAACGCAAACTATTAACCTGTAATTATCT